TAAATGGCATACAAGTTTACACCAGCTTGCGAGTGCGGGTGTGGACGTCTGTCTTGTGCTTGCCCTCAGGATGAATTGGGATCTGCAAAAAATGCCTCACCAACGTGAATTCGACGCACTGGCGCCACCTGCCGTTTTTGCTACAGCTTCTGATATCAGATCCACTTCTCATCCCATATCGAGCAGAATTAGTAACTCATGCCCTTTTATGCGTACTTGTACAGACATTGAGTTGACTCGAGGTGGATCTACCGGTGCTGCTGTTATCTCGTGTGGCCCCATCACTGCGACGCACGCTTCGTGCTTGCTCTGTTTGTACCCTTGGCAGCGCTGGTTTCAATTGTTCAGTAACCTTCTCCTTTAGGCGGCAATCTCGAAATACGTGAGCCTGTTTATTGCAAAAGAAGCAAGTACGCCGTTGGGCATCTCCTTCTTGCTTTCTAGCTTTTGGGTTCACTGCAGTCAGTTACAGCTTCTAACATCGCTTTTGGTTGATCTGGCTTTCACAGTCTAATATCCATAGGCTCCAAATCAGCACCATTCCCAGATCCGTTTTCTTCCCTTTTGACTAGGGCTGTGGAAGTGCGATTTTTTCTTTCTTTTCCTCGAAGATACTCCATCATCTCAACGACGTCCACTCTTTCACCACTCATTTCCCCCTCCGTAGCCCAGCAGGTGATGACCTCTCTCCGAAGGATAGCCCCGCTATAAACCAATCATAGAGCAGCTCCGGCTCCACCATAGGGCTTCGGTTCACTGAGGACTGATATTTCTCAGTGTAACGCTATATCGACGGCTTCGCTTGCTTAAGTTTTCTTAGTTTTGCCATTGTCTGCTCCCTTGCAGACCTCGCGACAAACCTGCAACGCAACGCATCTTGGAAGGCCTAGATGGACCTGATGCGCTCCGGGAATGTAGAACCTTTGCTTAAGCGTAGCCACAATCGCCCTGCATTCCCTTCTAAGAAGAAGGAGGCCAAATGTAATTGGAGTTCTTCTGGGTCATTTTGTAGGCAGAAGTATATGTCTAGGGAGCTAAGGAATTCCTCTACGGCCTCTGCATCCAGGCGCCCATCATGTCGCGTGGGACAGCACAGCAGGAGGC